CACAGAGCTCAAGTCTTGTCACCTAAATTCCCTGTTCCCACCACACCAAGCCTTTTTCTGGAGCTTTTTGTTGCCAGCACAATACTTTGGAGATTTGTGGGTCACCTGCTATCCTCACTCTTCAGTCAGCATCCAAGATCCCTCATCTGGTGAAGGAAGAAGACAAAATTTGAGCACACACCAGGGACAGTCCTTCCTTCCCTGGGAGGGAATGTATTTATGGATATTTATGGATATTTCTGTCTCTCTCAACTGTGCCTTACTGAACTCATGCTCCATTCTCCCTCTGGACTCTCTCCTACCTGCAACCACTTCACTGCCCTCACTGAGGATCCTGCTGTCACTGTGTCACTGCTGAGGCAGCACAGAAAAATCCACCCTCGTCCCAGATGCTGCTGGTGTCTGCAACAGGATCCATTCCTGCTTCTGCTCCTGGCAGCCCTTGGACAATTCCAGCACTCCTTGCTTGAGCGATGTGTGGTGGCTTTGGGTGCACAGCCAGGTGAGCACGGCTTGGCTCTGCTCACTGAGGCTGCCCTGGTGTCCATGCCCAGTGCCAAGGCTCAGGAGCCAATATTTGGACCAGCCTCCCAGAAGACCTGGAGCCACTGGGCACTGGCTGTGCTTGGTGGCCCAGACTGGCACCTCACCCCGATGCCTTGCACCCTGCATGGCCAAGGTGCTTCTTAGATCTTCAGCAAGCATCATACAGCATCCAGAAAATCCCTGCTCTGTTGTGGTTATTATGTGTCTGGGGAGCTCCAAGAGCAGCTTTGAGGTTTGGATGAGCTCAAACCTGCTCCTCCCTGGACCCAAGCAGGAGGGATGCAGATGTGCATCATTACTGTTCTGTCAGGAGCACGCTGAGTTGAGTATTTCCCTGAATACTCTGGCATGACTTCCCCTGGCCTTCATCCCAGCCCTGTCTCTCCTTTGGGGGCCAGGTGAGTATAAAGGAAGGGCTCAGGCCTGTGTTACTGGGGGTTCCCCCTGTGCTGGCACTGCTGGGGCACCTCCAGGGCTGGGGACAGCTCTGGGACACTCAGGACGGGAAGGACATGGAGGGGCTGGAGCGTGTCCAGGGAAGGGAATGGAGCTGGGAAGGGGCTCAGCCTGGAGAAAAGGAGGATCCCGAGGGATCTTTTCCCTCTCTGGAATTCCCTGCCAGGAGGGGACAGCCAGGGTGGGGAATTTGGGATCTCATCCCAGGGAACAGGGACAGGAGGAGAGGGAACAGCCTCAGGCTGGGCCAGGGCAGGCTCAGGGTGGAACCAGCAGGAATTTCCCCATGGAAAGGGAGCTCAGGGATTGGAACTGCCCAGGGAGGGTTGGATGCCCATCCTGGAGGTGCCCAGGGAATTCCTGGAGGTGGCACTCAGAGCTCTGGGCTGGGACAGGGTGGGGAATCAGGGTGGGCTCACTGGGCTGGGAGAGCTTTTCCAACCTCAGTGATTCCGTGATTCTGTTAACACTTAGGTGCTGCTTTTTAAAACAACTGCATTTTCCTTCCTTTCCTGACACAAATTACACGTGGCCATGGCTTTGAGCGTGGTAAGGGGCCAAGGGAAAGATGGAGTGACTGCTCTGAGGAACAAGAAGAGGAAAAGCTGTATTTCGCCTTTATGTTTACAGCTGTGCAAGTGTCTGGAGGACGAGAAGAGGCACAAACTCCCTCTCCTGGAGACACACGGCACTTTCTGTTGGAAAGGGAACATCAGGGCTGTCTGTGGGCTGTTCCGCGGGACATCTGCCAGAAAGCCTTTGTGTTGGCATAAATCCTATGCCTCCCATCAGGAGAACGTGGTGTGGCCAAGCAGCAACTCCTGCTCAGCTGGGCAGAAGAGCTGGTCGGGACTCAGCCTCCCCACCTGCTCTGCTCCAAACCTTGGTGTGGCAGCACATTTCTCTCCCTCTCTCAGGATTTTCATAGAGGTGCACAGAGAGAAATGAAAGAGAAAACAATTTCTATTTCTGCTCCTTGTTTTTCCCATGTGGAATGTGTTTGGAGAATTGTTTACCTGGGGTGATTCCTTGGTTGGATTCTGGTGAGGATTGCTTGAACCTGGTGGCCAATCCAACCCACCTGGGGCTGGAAACTCAGAGAGGATCACGAGTTGTGAGTGAGTTAGATATAGAGCTAAAGAAAGTAGTATATAGTTTTAGTATCTTCCTTTATATAGTATATTAATGTATTTTAACATAGTTATAATAAAAAAATCATTCAACCTTCTGAACTAGAGTCAGACATCATCATTTCTTCCCCCTAAGTTCACCTACATTTACAATACCTTGGCACCTGAGAGGTGTTGTCCTTCAGCGCTGAGGCTCCCTGCACCACCCTCTGCTCCGTGCCGTTCACAGCAGGGAGACTCATCCTCCCCAGCAGCACGGGCAGGCTCTCCTCAGCAGGCAGACTGGGCAGGGGACTGCTCCACTCCATGCTTGCTCCTGAAATACTTCTAGGCTGAGGCCGGTCTCCTCATTCTCTGAGTAACCACGACCTGGCTCAGCCCAGGCTGTTTATCACAGCCTGGCTGCAGGGTGTGGGTTAGACACTGAAAGATGTTCATAGGATCTGGTTCTTTCTTCAGCTACATCTTTCCAGATGCACTGGAGCCATGTCTCAGGACCATTTCACCTTTAGCCCGACATCAGTCCCTCCTTGCACACAGGGAACCTTTTCTAATCAAAGGAAAGATGTGACAAATCTGGAAACAGACCCTCGGGGCTGCTCTGGAGAAGGATCCAAGGTCCCCCAGGGTCCCATCCTGCTGTGCCCGTGGGCAGTGGGAGGTTTGGCTGTGGCAGAGCTCTGCCTGTACCCAGCACCCTGCAGCCACCAGCCCAGTGCTGACAAAAGTACCGAGGGCAGGGAGTCAGCTCTGCCCTTGGGGGGACACAAGGAGTGGGGTCTGCAGGAAAACAGAGCAAATCCAGAGCCAACAGAAGAAAAAGACAGGAAACTCGGGCTGGTGTGTTTAGAAAATTTCCAGGAGAAACTGCTGCCATGATTGAAATTCATCTGGCCTTGAAGGACTGTAGCTGTCCCAGGGCGTGGAGCTGGTACCAGGGGGTGGCAGCTGGGAGAGCTGTGGCTGTGGTGAAGTCAAACAGCAAACCATGAGCAGACAGAGTGGCAAGACAAGGGTTTTAATAATGAAGGTGTTGCTGGTAACATAGGTAAGGAAATGTGCTTGCTTACAGGTTTGAAGCTGACAGCATCCCTTTAAATAAGGAAATACATTTGCTGAGAGGAGAAAGTTACCTGAAAACTCTGTACAAGGCCGCAGTGGAGCAGCTAACACTACTCTGGGTCAAGTGCTCTGAATATTCTCCACGGACTGGCTTCAAAAAAATCTCTCACTTAGAAAAAGAAATTCTTTTAAAAAAATGCAACCTGTGATTGTCTATCCTAGCAGTGCCCTGTGACATTTGTACAATAGAAAAAAATGGTGCTTTAAATAGTGACTTGGAAGCTACTGCCACGTGCTTTATACAGCATGCAACAACACCAGGGACTGGGGACACTGCCCGGGCTGCAGAGCTGCCTCCCACAGCTCCAGCATCCCTGGGGAAGCGCCACGGGAGCCACGGCCAGGCTGGACCTCCTCCCAGCAGCTTCATCTCCGTGTGCTGTCCTTCCAGTAACACAAATATTAAATACACTCAGTCTGTAAATAGTTTAACAATCTTTGTCAGCAACAATATTTACTTTGGCAAAACCAGAGTTGCAATGAACAGACGCGTCCATCGCAAAGTCTGCAGCAAGTTCTTTGGTGGAAGCCAAGAAGTGAAGCAAAGGCTCCTTCTTGCTAGAGCCTGAGGAAGAATATTGCACAGAGACTCGTAGGAGAATTGCTGGTGATTCCAAACGGGAGCATCACTGCGGTAGAGCTTCCTTCTCTGCCGGCTTCGGGAGAACGGGCTCCTCCAGGCTCGGTGATTCACAGCTGTTCTCCGGAGCCTTGCTCGGGGCTGAGGGAGCAGTGACGCTGGATAAACTCCGGGAGGAGGGGAAGACTGCTGGGGATGGAGGAGGGACGGGCAGGAGGATGGAGGGGAGGATGGCAGGAGCAGGCACTGGCACAAAGGCTGGGCCGCGGCAGGGCTCGCTCGGCTCTGCCCACGAGCGGTCACTGAGTGTCCCTGCCCGGCTCCCCCTGCTCCCGGGTCATGCAAGGGCTGGAGATCACCCTGACCTGGCTGTGCAGAGAACAGCCCCTCCAAAGCTGGCTGCTCCTTTCACACCACCTGCTCCTAGCTCGGCCAAAATACATCACTCATCTCTCTGTGCGCACCGGGGACACGGCCGCACTGGGATGCCACATCCCCGCCATTCCCTCACTGCATCCTGAACATCTGCCTCCAAGGTCCAGAGCTCTCTGCTCCAAGGTCACAGGCTGCAGCCTGGTTCGGTGCAGAGCGCAGCCAGGACAGCTGCTGGGCTTTCAGCCCTCAGGACATGCCAAGGTGCCACCGTGAGCTCGGTGATCTCCATCTCTCATCCACCTGGAGCAGAGCTCTGCGGGGATGGGCACTGCAGCTTTGGGCAGGAGGGAAGCAATGGCCTGGCTGTGCACAGAAGGGTGCTTGGCACCTGGCTGGGCACAGCCCCCTGCTCTTCACCCTGGCATGGGCACGGCCAAGATGAGCCCAACAGGTCTGCCTGGAGGAGAGGAGAGGAGAGGAGAGGAGAGGAGAGGAGAGGAGAGGAGAGGAGAGGAGAGGAGAGGAGAGGAGAGGAGGAGAGGAGAGGAGAGGAGAGGAGAGGAGAGGAGAGGAGAGGAGAGGAGAGGAGAGGAGAGGAGAGGAGAGGAGAGGAGAGGAGAGGAGAGGAGAGGAGAGGAGAGGAGAGGAGAGGAGAGGAGAGGAGAGGAGAGGAGAGGAGAGGAGAGGAGAGGAGAGGAGAGGAGAGGAGAGGAGAGGAGAGGAGAGGAGAGGAGAGGAGAGGAGAGGAGAGGAGAGGAGAGGAGAGGAGAGGAGAGGAGAGGAGAGGAGAGGAGAGGAGAGGAGAGGAGAGGAGAGGAGAGGAGAGGAGAGCAACAGTGGGCTTCCCTCTCCATGATTTCCTGTTGCCACCCAGGTGAGGTCACCTCACCACACAGTCTTGCCATGAGCTGCTCCAGTTCTCACAAGAGTGACTGCTAAAACTGGGAGGGGGGGATGGAAGATTAGAGGAAGAAAATGGAAGTTCTTGTCAATCAAAGGAAGTGTTGCTTCAGGCACCGGTGTCTTCTGTGGGGTTGTGTCAACGGAGGAAAAACGAAGTACCAGAGTTGTGCTGTCAGTTTTCAGTGACTGGAAATTCAAACAAGTTTATATGCTGGGAAAATGACTCCAGTTTGCCCTGGATAAGGCACGTTAGCCCTGCACGTTCTGTGGCAGGACAGGAGCACTGTGCTGCCTGCTGCAGGCTCACAGCACCCTGCCCCAGCAGTCCCTTCACCACTGCTGCAGGTGCAGGTCCATGCTGGTGTTCAGGTTGAGGTCGGCAACATCCAGGAAATCGATGTTGAAGATGCTGGGGCCCGCGGGGGTGAGCGAGCTGAAGCCGCTGGCCGAGCTGGGGGGGGTGAGGTCCAGCCACTCCATCGTTTCCCACGGAGACTCGGTGAAACTCATTTGTAAAGCGGAGCCTTCGGCAGGGGAAGGGGACAGCTGGGTGTCCATGGGCGACAGGGGAGTCTGTAAAATCTCCTGGGAGTTGAGCAGTTCATCGGCGGCTTTGCCGGAGAACCCCTCCATCATCCCTTCGAAGTGGGGCTCCTCACCCCCCATCTTCAGCAGGGCCATCTCGCCCACCCTGCCCAGGGGGCTGTGGGCATTGAGCAGCACCTCCAGGTGGGCGTCGCTGCTGCCCGGGCAGTGCTCGAAGGGCAGCGGGGCCGAGGAGCCCGGCTCGAACGGGGCAGAGCCCTTGGGCACGGAGCCCGAGCTCCCTGGAGACACCATGATCTGAGGGACCTTCTGCAGGCAGGACCGATCTTCCTTGGCATTGGCTGGGATTTCTGCCGACAAATGAGAGGGATTTGAGGTGCCCTGGCGGTGCCCACCAGCACAGCCCTCCAGCTGAGCTCCTGGCATCACCTGCTCCCCATTCAATCCCACTGGCACCGCCTGCCCACCCTCCCTGGGGGAAGCTTTGCACATTCCTGCTTCCTGACCTTGATCCCCGGGTTTGGACACAGTCCCCAGGGCACAAAGCCCTGGCAGCTGTCCCCAAGGGGCCGGGAAGGGCACAGGCAGCCCTTTGCACAGGGAGGACAGCAGAAGTGCTCTGGGAGGATGGCACTGGGAATGGGGGGGACACTGGGGGCTGGCAGGGCTGTGCACAGGGCTCCTGCCCTGCTGTCCCCTCTCTCTGCACAGGACACAGCCCAGCCCAGACCGCCCCAGCGGGCTGGCACAGGCAGGAGCAGGCTCCAATGTGCTTTTGGGCTCAATCTCAGAGGGTCTGGCACACAGAGGGCAGGGGAAAGCTGTACTCAACTCAGGCAGCGCTGCTGGGGTGCACTGAGCCCCACAGAGCGATGCTGGCTGGAGGGGAAGCCCAGAGGGGAAGAGGGAAGCAGAGCATACCTCCACTCTCAATCAGCACGTCCAGGAGCTCGTCCATCTGCTGACTTCGTGTCATCTGCTGCAGCAAACGACAAGAGGAGAGGAGAGGCCATTAGCAGGACAGCCCTCCTGCCACAAGCCAGGTAGATGGCTCTAGACCCCAAAAAGGATGGCTCCAGACCCCACAAATGGCTTCTCCCCACACAGAAGAGAGGCCACACCAACACGGGGCTGGCAGTGGTGTTCAGGGCACTGCAGGGATGTGGCACAATCACGGAGGATCCAGGGAGAAAAGCACCCTTCCCTGCTGCCAACCCTCTGCTCTGTGGCCACCACAGCCTGCCCTGTCCCGGGGCCCTCAGGACACAAAATTTTGGCCCCAGCACCTCACACTGGCACGTGTCAGCCTGCCCTCCCTGCTCCCTGCACTGTCCAACCTCCTTCCTCTCCCTGACCAGAACCTGGAAGATCTCCTGCACGCTGGCACAAACCCATTTTCACCCTGCCAACAGCATCACTCCACTCTCCCAAAGGCACCAGCAGTCCCAGCAGCGAGGCTGCTCCCAGCTCTGATGGGAAGGAAGGTGTTCCCAGGTGATGGCCAGTCCTCCCTGCAGGAGCAGCGCTCCAGGTACGGCTCAGGGGGCAGATGGGGGAGCAGGATGAGCTTGAGACCTGGGAATGCTCAAGGGTCTGTCTCTGACATGGCACTGAGCACCCAAAGAGAGCACACTGGCACCCCAGGGGACTCGGGGGGTGTCAGGACCCCTGGGTGCACAGGGGACACTATCCAGCCCAGCAGGGTGTCCGACTCCTTTGTGGCACCTAGTCAGCAGCTAACCCTTCAAAAAGCCCATTGCTCCTGGAAACAGGCCTGTCCTGCCCAGAGACCCCAAAACGAGCTGCAGCTCCAGCAGCTGAGTCCCACTGACTGCAAAAAGACATCACGGGCAGCCCCAGCCCTGTAGAAAACACAAACCATGCAGTTACCTGCTTCACTGCATCCTCATAGGGTGGAGGCTGCTTTACCTCTGACAGGGCTGGGCTTGACTTACAAAAACTTGGGGATGAAATAGAAAACTTTTGGCCTGACTGCGCAGCCATCTGCATGGGGAAATACAGGGAAACGGAGTCAATGCACGGCGGGAGGCCCGGCTCGCTCGTCCCTGCTGAGGCTGGCCTGGTGCCAGGGAAAACGACAATTTTGTGGGTCAAACCAACTCCAGATGCCTGGCTTGGAGCGGGATAGAGGCAGGTGAACCAGCTCCTGGCCTAGCTCTGAGACCCAGGGCCAGGCTGGCCTCCTGTCGCTGCCAGGCACGGTGGCACAGGACAAGGGCATGGACAAGGGGGAGGCAGAGGTGCTGCTGGTGGTCTGCTGGGTTTGGCCAGCGCTGAGGCTCCTCCCCAGCCACCCCAGCCCTTCAACACCACCTGGCTGGGGGCAACTCAGAGCTCAGGCCAGGGGAGGTCACTCCGAAGAGGGAAATCTCTCTCTGCCTGTGCCAAACCCCTGCACATCTTTGCCAACTTTTTGCCAGGTTCCCCTTCCAGGATGGATGGCATCTGAAGAGCAGTGCCTGTCAGCTGCTGTCCCCATCACCTCCAGGCCCTCCTGTGTCCTTCCCCACTGCCTGGCCATGGTCTTGTCCCACAAAAGCCAGCACCAGGGGATTGTCCCTCCAGGTGGGTTGGATGCAGGAGAGGATCCAGGGCAGCAGTGAGGTCACTCTGCCCGGCCAGGCACATCCTGGATACCTTTCTGTGGAGGGGAGCTGGAAGGAACACTACCCCTGGCTCATGGGAAGCAGCACTGCAGTGCTGAGCTCTTGCTGGAGAAGGACCCTCACCCCTGGGAGTCCCTTGCAGGCAGCAGAGAGATGTGCAGGATGGGTGGTGTTGGAGTTGGGATGAGCTGCAGGACACAATGGGACCATCCCCCTGCCCTTGGGCAGTGAAGAGCAGCTGGAGGTGCCATTGTGGTGTTGCTGCTCCCTCCTGAGCCTCACTGACCACTGCCCTGCTGCCTCCTGGAGATCAGCTCACAGCACTGCCCCACTGCCCCACTGCCCCCAGAGCTGCTGCAGTGCCCAGTTCACCTGCACAGCCCCAGTGCCAGGGTCAGCCCCTGCATCCCCCGCTCCCCACTCACCCAAACCAGTGTTGCCATCCCCCTCCCCACCCCTGCAGCAGCCCCACTGCCCTCCATGCCCACTCCCCTGGCAGCTCTGTCTGCCCCTCCTCGCCCTGAGCTGCTGCCCTTGCCCACCTCGCTGGCCATGCTGTTTGCCAACTGCCCGTGGCACCCACCTTGCTGTCCTCCTGAGCCCCACTTTGTGCCACTGTGCAGGGCTGCACCCCAAAGCCTGCTCGGGGCCACTGCCACTGGCACACACACCCAGCCTGCCCTGCCACAGCCCTGTGTGCACACCTTGCACCCCTGTGCGTGGCACAGGCCACTGAAAGGTGCTGCTGCCGCCTGGGCAGCCCTGGGAGGGCACTGGGGCTGTGGGCAGCAGCACTTTGTGCTGCTTTGTGCAGCGTGTCCCCCTCCCAAGTGTTTGTACCTGCCCAGGGGGCTGAGCGAGCAGCGGTGGCTGCTGAGGACAGATCTGTGCTGGGCTGGTGGGGAGGCACAAGCTCTCTCTGACTGCAGACCTCAACTGCCAGCCCTGCTCCAGCTTCCTGAGAAAAGCCTTCCCCGGGGCAACTGCTCTCCTCCAGCTCAGTGGGGAAAATGCCTCACACGCTGCTGGGAGCCACAATGGCCTGGCAGGATGCTGGGAAGCCCTGCAGCCCTGCAGCCGGGTCTCCCAGGGGTGTAGGAACTGTGCCAGGGCTCTCCCAGGAGCTGAGGGATCCATGCTGGGGCCTCCCTGCTGCGTACAGAGCTGTGCCAGGGCTCCACGGGGCATGGGCAACTGTGCCAGGACTCCCCCTGAGGGGAGAGGCAGCTGGGTTTGGGCTCTTTTAGGGTAGAAGAAGCTGTGCCAGTGCTCCCCCAGGGAAGTGGGAGCTTGCCAGGACTCCTCCAGGGGCAGAGGGAACTGTGCCAGGTCTCCCCAGGGCAGAGGGAACTGCGCCAGGGCTCCCCCAGGCAGAGGATGCTCTGCCAGCACTCTCCCTGCACGCGGGCAGCTTTGCCAGTGCTCACTTAGGGGCAGAGAGAGCAGTGCTGGGATCCCCTGGGGAGGAGGGGAGCTGTGCCAGGGCTTCCTCAGGGCAGCAGAGCCGTGCCAGGGCTCCATGGGGCACGACAGCCGCGCTCTGGCCCCTGCAGGGAACTGGCAGCAGTGGCAGGGCTGCCAGAAGAAAGGGACCCTGTGGTGCCATCAGCTTCCATCCCAGTGCCCCCCTGGGACACTCCCTGCCCTTCCAGCAGCCCCGGGAGCAGAGGAAAGGCTTTGCCCGTGTGGCTGAGAGCTGGGGTCGGGCTGGCACTCAGAGCAAAGGCTTTGCCCATGTGGCTGAGAGCTGGGGATTGGGCTGGCACTCAGAGGAAAGGCTTTGCCCGTGTGGCTGAGAGCCGGGGTCGGGCTGGCACTCACCGGGGCCGGGCGCAGGCAGCTGCCGGCCGGGGGGGACCCGCTGCGGGCCTCGGGGGACAGCAGGTAGTGGCTGTTGGGGGACGGTGGCAGGCTGATGTGCTGGGGGCTCTTTGCAGCGCCCAGGGGAGAGTGCTGCGGGGAGCACTGCGGGCTCAGGAATGTCGAGGAGGCGATGGTGCTCTGCCCTGCGGGCTCCAGGCAGTGGCTGTTTACGATGTGGGGCACCTGTGGTACCCCACAGTTACTCAGCTTATCCGAGCTGCCCGCCTGGCCTTTCAGCGCCATTTGTTTGGATGCAAACGGACAGCTGGACACGGCGTTTTCTTGCTTGATGGGGACACCAAAGAAATGCTGCTGCTTCTCCTCAAGGCCATTGCTTCTCTTTCGCTTCTGGAGCTGCATCCGCAGCTCTTCCACCTGCCTCTGCTCCTGCTGCAGCTTCCACGTCAGTTCATTGATGACCTTCTGCTTCTCCACCAGCATCTTGTCTTTCTCCGTGTCTATTCCTTCCAGTTCCAGCTGGATGCTCCCTCCGTTCATGCTGCTCATGAGGCTTTCCTCAGCGCTGCCGTGAGCCGGTGATGGCTGCAGGCCGAACTGTGGAGAAGCCATGGGCCCGTCGTTGAAGGTGTCCGGCAAGGAGCCGCTGACAGAGAGCTCGGAGGAGGCGGGTGAGATGGGCGGGGTGGAGCTGGTGCTGCCGAAGTGATAGAAGCCGTTGGATAGCATGCTGCTGGAGGACTGGGACTGGTAGGTGGGCAGGGTGCTGGTTGGAGTGACTGGGAAGGTGACGGTGGTGATCTCGCTGAAGCCGGGCCCCGTGCTGCTGCCGCACTCCTGGAAGGGCCGCAGCCGCTCCATCAGCGCCGTTTTGGTTCCCGACACGGGCAGGCCTCGGATTCGGAGCTGCTGCCTCAGCTCCGACACCTGGGGGGAAATCACTCTGCTCAGTCTCAGGGGCAGAGCCCTTTGCAAACACAGAGCTTTCAATAAGGAGTCTCAGATCCATCTTTAAAGCTCTGACCTCCCAGGTGCTCTCTGTCTCACCTGCAGTCGCCACAGTCACCATGCACATCCTGCAAAATCTCAACCTTTCCTAACAGGAAATCTTCCTCCAAGAACTGTGACTCCTCTCCGTGAACCAGCAGTGGTCCTTGGGGCAGGGAAGCAGCTCAGGATTCCCTTCCTAGCAGTGGATTTCTCCATGAGAAGAGGACTTTAGCACAGACCAGGAGGCTGTGACACCTTGGGGCCACGTGCTCTATGCTCAAGCACACGATTCAGGCACCTGAGCTAGGGCAAATTCATCTGTTTCTACCTCGGGGCTGCCCCCAGGTCTCTGCTCATGACTGAAGGTCCATTAGCAAAGTATAAAATAATAGCTGATATGAGGGATTCTCCCCTTGCCCTTTCTTGCCTACATGAGAAGGGCTCAAAACAGTGCGTGTAGCAGGAGGTACCTGCTCATGCAGAGAGCTGAGCTGGCCTGCCTGAGCAGCTGAGTCACTGAGAGAGGTGCATGCTGCCCTGCTGGCCTCTGGCTGGTCTGTCAGAGTATCCACAATGTCCAAACCACACAGGGATGGAACCACGAGCTGCAGGAGCAGCAGCTCAGATCATCCTTTAGCCTGAGCCGCAGCCTCCCCAGGCTGCACCTTTGGTTTGCTGACACACAGACTAGAGCAGTGCTCCCCTCACCACCCGCAGAGCAGCAAGCCCCCATGTTCAGAACCTCCCCAGGGACCAAGCCCTGCCCCAGGGTGCTGTGCTGAGCTCCTGGGTGGCTCAGAGCATGGAGGTTCAGGTGTGCTGGTCCCTGACACAGCCCTCCCAGCCCGTGGCACTCCCCTGACACACTCAGAGGCAGCACAGCACACTCAGGATGTGCTCCTGCAGTGACAAAGGTTGCACTCACTTTGAGATCATCCAGGTTGGATGGCAGAGGGCCTGGCTTGATAGATGAGACACAAGTCTGGCCTGAAAAGGTGGTTTTCACTGGAGAAAGAGGGGTGTTGTTGCCAGAAGTTGATGAAGAATTTGAACTTTTGACCATTTGCTCATTTGATTGCCTGAAATAACAAAGGAGATTTGGGGTAACTTGTCTGTTCCCCCAGGGTCTTTGTGCCCAGCAACCCATCCCTCTGCTCCCCTGGGTCTGCTGTCTCCTGTGTGAGACTTCAGGATGGCCAAGGAAAACCAGGCTGGGCTGTAGGGGATTGCTGCTGTCCCACCAGCATGTCACAGGTGCCCTGGCCATATGCAAAGCCCAGAATGGTTTGGAAGGAGTCTGTGCTGTTGCCAAGCTTTTCTATTTCAGTGGTGTGCCTCTATCCCCTTGCTCTGGCACAAATGGATACAGGGGGGAAGGCCTGGAGAGAGACAGGACTAAGTCCTGCTGCTGGCACAGTGCCACTCACTTCAGCTGTCCTTGGTGCATCCCAGGATAGCTGAAGTGCTGCTGCTGCTGCTGCTGCTGCTGCTGGCTGAGGATCTGGAGCTGCAGGAAGAGCTGCTGCTGCTGGAGCAGTCTGGCATATGCAGAATCCATGGGTGGAGGGGACTTCTCTGCTTTCTGGTCTGGGGGGATGTACTGGTGGTACTTGAGCTTCTTCACTTTGGGCTTGGTGTCTTTGGGCTTTTTGTGACGGTTCTTGCTGTCACTGGATGGTTTGGACTGTTGGAAGGAAAGAAAGGGATTAGGTGTGAGAGGAGCTCCTGTCATCCCCATGGGACCTCAGAGGCCTGGAACAGAACCAAGGCAGCTCCAAGCTGCTGAGCTCCAAGACCTGCTGAGCTGGATGTGGGGGGACTCCCTTGGCACTGCATCCCATCCCAGCTGTGCTGGAGAGCACATGAGCTGGACAGTGACCCTCCCTGCCTGGAACATGCTCCAGTGTGGCCTGGCATCTCCTCCTGCTCCCAGCCCCAGGGGATGTTTTCAGTGCAGGGTGTATTCACCTCTAGCAAGGTGTATTGCTGAATCTTGTACCATTACAGAACTAATTAAATCAGTTTTTGACACAAGGTTGTCTGCCTGAATTATTCAAAGCCTTTCAGTGCAGACACCCAGAGCTGTCACACATTTGGGGCGCAGCACTGCAGGTTTGGAGGCTGGTTCCTCCCTGGCAGCCCGGGGGCACCGCACTGGCATTACCTTCACGGCAGAGGGCAGGGGCAGCGTGGGGCTCTCCTGCCCCGCTGCCGGCTTGGGGCTCTCGCACTGCCGGCCCTGCCCCGGGGCAGCATCCGCAGCCTGCCCATCGGCACTGGGGGGCCGATCCTGCAAGGGAGAGGGGAGAGGGGCTGTGGGGCCGGGCCCAGGGGCTGCACAGGGCATCCTGCTACTCTGTTTGTTCACCCCTTGTTGTTCCAAATGCCCACGGATGCCTCAGTGCCTCCCAGTCCCCTCATGTCTTTCCCAGCTATACCCACAGGCTGTCACAGTCCTTTCCCAGTCCTCTGCCTCCACAATCCTCCTTGGCTGTCCAGCCCTCCCAGTTTCACCTGAGCCCCATGTTCTTGCTCACAGCTGGCCCCTCAGTGTCCTCCAGACCAGCTGACCCATGGATGGCCACAATCCTTTTAGTCCTCCTCCACCCCAGTCTGCCCCACTCTTCCCTTTCTCCCCCGTCCATCCCAGCCCCTCCAGTCTGCCTCAGTCCACTCCAGTTCCCTCATTATCCCTAGTTTCTCCCCGTTCCCCCATCTTCCACATTCCCCCAATTTCCCCCCAGTCCCTCAGTTAACCCCAGCCTCTACATTCTCCCAGTTTTCCCCCAGTTCCCCGTTCCCCATCCTCCACATTCCCCCAATATCACCCAGTCCCCAAATTTCCCCCAGCCTCTACATTCCCTCAATTTCCCCCAATTTCCCCCCAGTCCCTCCAACCTCCATATTCCCCCAGTTCCCCCCAGTTCCCTGTTTCCCCAGCCTCCACATTCCCCCAGTCTCCCCAGTTTCCCCATTCTCCCCCAGTTCCCCCAGTTTCCCCAGTCCCCCCAGTTTCCCCAGTCCCCCCAGTTTCCCCAGTCCCCCCCAGTCCCCCCAGTCCCCCCAGTTTCCCCCAGTCCCCCCAGTTTCCCCCAGTCCCCCCAGTCCCCCCAGTTTCCCCCAGTCCCTCCAGTCCCCCCCAGTCTCCCCAGTTTCCCCAGTCCCCCCAGTTTCCCCAGTCCCCCCCAGTCCCCCCAGTCCCCCCAGTCTCCCCAGTTCCCCCCAGTCCCCCCCAGTTTCCCCCGGCCCGGCGCTCCCCGGGCTGCAGTTCCCGCGCCGGCCGGCAGGGGGCGCGCCGCCCCCGCGCAGCGCGGTCCGCCCGCGGGTCCCAGATTGCCGCGGAATGACCCAAAATGTCACAGAATCACAGAATTAACCCGGCTGGAAACGACCTTTGAGATCACCAAGTCCGATCTGTCACCTAACACCACCCTGTCAACTAAACCATGGCACTGAGTGCCACATCCCGGCTCTTCCTTAACACCTCCAGGGATGCTGACTCCAGCACCTCTCCGGGCAGCCCATTCCAATGCTCAACCACTCTCTCAGTGAAGAATTTCTTCCTAATGTCCAACCTGAACCTCCCCTGGGCCAGCTTAAGGCTGTGTCCTCGTGTCCTGTCATTGTTCCCTGGGAGTAGAGCCCGACCCCACCTGGCTGCACCCTCCTGTCACGGAGCTGTAGGGAGTGATGAGGTCTCCCCTGACCCTCCTCTTCTCCAGGATCAACAATCGCAGCTCCCTCAGCCGCTCCTCACAGCACTTGTGTTCCTGACCCCTCCCCAGCCTTGTTGCCTTTCTCTGGACATGCTCCAGCCCCTCCACATCCTCCCTAAATTGCGGTCCCAGAACTGGACACGGCACTCGAGGTGCTGCCCAGCCAGTGCCGAGCACCTCAGCCCGGGACCCCGCGTGTCCCCCCTCGTGTCCCCCGTGCCCTGTGCCGAGGGATGTCCCGTGTCCCCCGTGTGCTCCGTGCCCTGTGCCGCACGGGTGTCCCGTGTCCCCCCTCGTGTCCCCCGTGTGCTCCGTGCCCTGTGCCGCACGGGTGTCCCGTGTCCCCCGTGTGCTCCGTGCCCTGTGCCGCAGGGATGTCCCGTGTCCCCCCGCCTGTCCCGGCCCCAGGACGGCTCGCCCGTACCTGGGGAGCCCCGGCAGGGCCGGCGGGGGGCGGCTCCGGTGCTTTGGAGGCGGGGGGCGGCTCGGCGGGGCCCGGGGAGCCGCGGCTGCGGGGCCGCTCCGGGGACAGCCCGTCGTTGCTGCTGTCCTCCTCGAAGGCGAAGGCGTCGCTCTGCCGGGGAAAGCCGCCCTGGGTGCCTGCGGGGGCAGAGGGGCAGAGGTCAGAGCCTGCGGGGAGCGATGGGGCACGGGCTGAGCCCGTGGGTGGGTGCCCGGGGGGCTCGGCCGCCTCCGGGGTGCCCCGCGGCTGGGGGACAGCAGGGCGGCCGAGCCATGGGCAGGGAGACAGGAGGGGTCTGAGGAACCGGGACCATGGTCCTTTTCCTTGGGACAGGGAGAGAGGAGGGGTCTGAGGAGCTGGGACCATGACCCTTCTCCTTGGGACAGGGAGAGAGAGAGGAGGGGTCTGAGGAACTGGGACTATGGCCCTTTTCCTTGGTTCAGGGAAAAAGGAGGGGTCTGAGGAGCCAGAGCCATGGCCCTTTTCCTTGGGACAGGGAGAGAGGAGGGGTCTGAGGAGCCTGGACTATGGCCCTTCTCCTTGGGACAGGGAGAGAGAGAGGAGGGCTTGGAGGAGCCCTGCCCACCAGCGCAGCAGGGCTGGTGCAGACAGGTGGGACTCTGGTGCAGGAGGGGCTCTGCCATCCTGCCCCTCCACTGGGCTGGGATGGGACAGGGGCACGGATCACCCTCCCTGAGCTGAGCACCCCGGCTGAGCACCCACACCACGCATGGGACTCTCCTCAGCAGGAGTGAGGTTGAAATCAGCTCGGAATGTGATCCATCTCTCCCAAGAGTGGATGTGGCTGCAGGTGCGCAGCGGCTCCCATGTGCCGTGTCTGTGCACAGGTTTCACCCACAGGACACGGTTCAAACCACTTCTGCCTGCCCAGCAGCCCCAGGCCATGCTGCCTGCACAGCTCCTGCACTGTTATCTGCCAGTCAGATGGGCAAGGGCTCTTGACCCCGAGGTTTGATGATAAATAAAGTGCTGAGAAAAAATGTCTCATGTGAGCCTCAGGAGAACTGCAGGTGGGGGTAGAGGAAGGAGCAGCGTGGCCACACTCGTAATCTCCTCGTGCTCATGTCTGGCATTTGTCAGACAGCTTGGCACGCTGATAGTGAGGTGACAAATGGGGAAATAGGAAGGGCTTGGGGACAAACTTCCACCTGTCCCTGCTGCTGGTCTAGCAATGTGCACCTTCTCAACGACACGCACCTCCTGCTCTGACCCCTGCCCCTATCTGAGAGATAAGGGTTATCTCCACTCCCTGTGGCTGCTGGTGCCAGGGTGGGCGAGGACAGAGCCCTGGCTCCCTGCCTGAGCTGCTGCCCGGACATGGGCTGGGGAAATGAGATCAGCTGTGCTCAACTTGCTGTCCCTGGAAAGAGGGTCTGTGTCCTCTCCATCCTCTCTGTCAGAGGCAGCACCCAGACAGGTCCCTGAGGAGCTGCAGCATTGCATGGGCCACCTGGGCTGCATGGGAGCTGCAGCCACGCCTGCAGGCCAGCGTGGACATCCCCTCTTGGGAAAAATGACTCCAAGCAAGGAGGACTTGCGGATTTGCAGGGCTCCTGCTGCGCTGGCAGGGAGCGTGTGTTGGGAAGTGGTGCCAAAGCTGGGAGCACAAGGGACCTTCAGGACACAGGGACAGCCCAGAGCATGACAGGAATGTGCTGCATCCTGCTGCTTGATACCGCAGGGCTGTGCCAATGGGGAATGCTTCCCTTATCTGTCCTGCTCTCACCCAGCCCCGCCTGAGCATATTGTTTCTCCATCCCGTGTCCCTGCCGTAATCTCAGGCAGGATGGTGTTTGCTCCGGGCCCTTTCTAATGCACTGGGTATTGTCCTCTTGAGCGGCATTGGACAAAGTGATGACAAGGACCTGGTAAAAAAAGTTCCTTGTATCACTGCTCAGCTATGCAGGGCACTGGCGGCCTCCTGTCACTGGGACGTTTGGGCTTTCGGTTGGGGTCTGGCACTTTCTGCTCACCCTGCCGGAGGTGATTAGAGGAACACGTCAGCTGAACTTTCCACTGTATAAACAGTTGAGATTCCAAGGTAAAAGTAAAATGATTTTAAACCCTGTCATCTTTCTGGTATTGCAAAAACAAAAGGCTTAACGTTCAGAGGTGCCAGTACTCATCTCCGCTCTGTGTTCGGCTCTTTGCCCCAAACCGTGAGTACCACAAGGTGCCTCTGACAGCAAAAAATGAGCTTGAGGATCCTTCAACTTGAGGCTTTCTTCTGCAGAAACCTGAGGGCTGGGATGGTGTTCCTGTCTTCTTCTCATGGCACCCCATGGTACCCTATGTTGGACCCTAATGTCCTGCATGTTTCACCCTAAATGGGATTAAACTGGCTTACAAGGACACGTTTTTCCCCAGCAATGTGATAGAAGAGAATTGTGAAAGGGAGAAATTTAAAACTGAACAAATCATTTTTAAGCCAGAATTTTTTGTTTTTAACAGTTTGGTCCCATAAATCTCTGTTTACCACGAGCTCCTGACAAGGCAGCTGGAGAGATGCTCTATTCAAGGCTCAAGCTGATTTCCCAGTCACCAAACCTCAGCTCTGGGGATAAAGTCATGCTCACACTGCCTCAAATGTTTATAAAGCCGGGGGGATTTTTTGAAACTTCTTTTTTTTCCACTGTTCTATCGTTTAGTAAGTGGCTGGGGAGATTTTACTTGAACTCTCCTTAAAAATTCCTCTTCAGGCAGACTCCTGGAACATTTCACCTTCAAAGAGGAGAGCTGCAACATGCTGGGAATGGAGCAGCTCCAGGGCCAGGCTGGAGAAGCTGCTGTACATACACAGCCTGCATTTCACAGCCCCCAAACCAAGAGCAGGAACAGTTGTGGGGCAGGACAGGGCAGTATCTGAGCCTGGAATATTTAATGTCATTTAAGATGGTTTCTGAGATGAAATGAAAATCAAAGTACTTCCTGTTTCCACTCTCATTTTTGGCATTTCTCCTCTCACTCCAAGAGACTTTCTGTCCCGAAAACCTGCCATTGTCCCCAGCCCGCTGTGAGCTCCAGAACAGACCCTTCAAATGGGATTGTGCCAATGGAAATGGTCCCATTTACTGAGGAACTGTGAGCAACAGAACAAGGAGCTTCCAGGGGCAGAGCAGCTCTCTGTGCCTCACTGGAGACCTGAGTGCCAGCTTGGACATGTGGGGACAGCCCCAGACTTCAAAAATCCAGGTTGTTGCCCTGTCACTGCAGGACCCTGCTGGCTTTCCTGCTCCTTTCGCTGCTTTTGGATCTCCCTGTCCTGGCACTGGGCCCTGGTGAAATTTGAGTCACCTTTCTGCCACACCAGCTTCCCTGCAGCAGCGTGGGGAGGTAATTGTGGATGATTCTTCCTCCCTCCTCTGGTGGGAGGAGGTGATGGAGGAAAACCAAATTTAGGCATAAAGCGAGTGGTGGGTCCTGGCTGGTAGGGGTGTGCCCTGTTTGGGGGTGCATGCTCCTGCTCATATTCTCCAGCAATTTAGCACCCCAAGGATGCTCCACACCCCAGGGATGCAGCATCCTGCTCTGCTGGGTCCTGCATTGCACCAGCAGCAGTGGTAAAAAATAAAAGAGAACCCTGAGCCCTCCTGAACTGGGGCCATTCCACAGCCATGGGATGTGAGAGCTTGGCAGGGCAGCAGTGGGAGGATGTGGGCTGCTCTCAGGGCACAGCCAGCCCCTGGGCACTCAGGCTCTCTCCCATGCGGAGGGAAGGAGTGTCCTCTCTCCAACAGCATCACTTCTGTGCTCAAAGCCTTGGGGAGGGAAGGGGTGTGGGAAGGGAGGTTATTTCTGGGGGAATGTGGCTGAGCACTGGTGCATGTTTCAGTGTCACTGCTCTAAGATGACAGCGCTGTGCTGGGCTGGGCTGGTTACTTAATTAATGAAATTTAAGCAATAAGAGCAGCTCTTACATGCAGGCTGGTCACTTCCTGCAGTCACTGTGGCAGCCCCACTCCCTGCACACACACAGCACACACGTTCACTGTCACACCTTTTATGGCCTCTTTCACAGCCGAGTCCACGGGAATAATATTCTTCTCCACCAGCTCCAAAGGACCCGGCCTGAGCGCGATCTTTTCGTTGAGGTCATCGGCCAGTCGGGCTCTTTTCAGCTTCATTTGGGTAGACTGAATGGACCCCTCTGCAGCTGAGTCTAAAAGGCCAAAGAGAAGTGTCAGGGGCTCCTGTGGGCAGAGCACTTGGTGACAATGGCACAGCACACCTCTGGGGGCTGTGGCCAATCCTGAGTATATAATACATATTCATTTTGCTAATTTCCTATTATACTCACAGTTAGTTAGACTTTTACTTAGTTTTTGTTAAAAGTACAAAAAGAACTCCTGAGTCACTCTGCCCTATCTATTTTAAAGTCTAAAGAGTCTTTTTTATTTTTCATCTTTTAGCATAGAAATTTGCATTCTTTCTTTTTAGCTATATTATTTTTCTAAAGCTACAGTCACTAAACTAAACAACATATTTAGCAAGCTTAAAGTAGCACATTTTACCTAAATCTAAATAGATTTCTCCCCTATTCAATTTTCACTCTGTGAAAATTGAATAGCACAGCAGGATCTGCTCTGCTAGGCTGGGTGGGGCTGCTGTGATTTGGGACATGGGTTATTCTCTGAGCCTCAGGTCCATCTTCTCCATGCCCAAACAAGAGCCTCCCTCTCCCATCCTGGGCTTGCAAGCCCAGCCTACAGCCAGACCATGCTCTGCAAGGGCCAGGAGTGATCTGGGATGGAAACTTCAGGAGCAAGTTCAAAGCTGCCACTAACAAGGGCCAAAGGGCTCTGCAGCTCCTGCCTGCCAGGAGCACATCAGCCCCTATGGGCTAGTGCAGATGGGGAACAGCTGGAGAACAGAACCACTGGCAGTGCTTGACAGCTGGAGCAAATGGCTTACACTGGAATTAAAAATGCTGTGGACTTTTGGAGGTGACATAATTACTGTGCTTCAGGCCTCCAGGGATAAAACGAGCTGGGGAGGAGCAGAGCAGAGGCAGGTAGAGAAAACCTAGCAAAGCCAGCTGAGAAAACCCCACTTGTTAAAGGGTGACAGAAGAATAGCAACTTAAACAGAAAGATTTCCTGAACAAAGCTCCTCTCTTGGACCAGGTGTGAGTAGCGAGGGAGTGGAATTCTAAACCAGAGCGTTTCTAAACCCTTGAGGGTCTAAAGTAAGAGCAGCTGTGTGTAGGTTGTTCTTTCTTCAAAGCCTGGACACTCTCTGTAGGGAACATGAGCTACAAGGCTTGACACCATGGAGATTCTCTACAGGAGGCCAGGAGAGCTGGTCTAGGGCCATTCAGATTATACAGAGCAGTGAACACAAATAAACTCCCTGAGGTGAACTGTAACAGAAGGGAGGCCTGTAAGGCACTTGGATGATGCAAACTGTGTCACCTGGCCAGTTCCAATCACCTCTAGGTGCAGTTGTGAACAAAATGGATTTGTAAGTCAAAGCCACAAAATGGATATGGCAAGACACAGCTCTGAAACGCAGAGCAGGATGGACAGAGGTGTGAGCTGCAGGCAAGGGGCTGTGGGGCAGCACATGCACCTTGCTGAGTGCACAGCCAGGCACTCGCTGCTCCCTGAAGTCTCTCTCCCCTGGCTGGCTCTGTCCCTGTCCGTGCCTCCACATCTGGAACCATCCCCCAGCTCCAGGCCACATTGCTTCCATTATTTAACCTAAGGGAAGGACTCTCTCCAGGTCTTCAGCAAGCAATGGTGCTAGCTTATTTTGGGATGGAAACCCAGGGGAAAAGCAAGGCAGCAACGCTGATCCAGCACGGGACCCAGGCTCAGCCCTCCTGCCTGCCAGAGGGAAAAAGAAATACAGATTGCATCCATGCTGAGAGCAGAGGGCAGCATTCACAGCTGCCAGAGAGTGATCTGCTTCTTCCAGACAAGTGACAGGACTCAAGGAGGGAGGGAGGCTGCACATCCTCTCTGTCTCTAAGGATCTTGTTATCTCTGGAGATAAGCAGGGACACTGTGGTGTTCTGCTGTCTGTGATGGGATCCAGCCCTGCCAGCTCTCTGCCTGAGAGGGAACACCAGGGTGGGAGAGGAGAGAGCTGCTGTGGCTCACAGACTGATAGCAGGGCTTTTCATACAGCTCTGCCTGGGTCACTGACTGCACAGCTGTCACATAGAATATCCAGAGTTACAGCAGCACAAAAGATGTCCAGCCTTGGGGAGGTGTTACATTGACCTGCTGGAGGAATTTCAGTGCCCTGGACAACAAATTCCCTGGGTTTGCTCTTCATGATCAGACATTGGCACTGGTGTCTAACAGAGTTCTCTCTTGCAGCTGTTCCCTGGAGCACCTTACTGCCACAGATGGGAGAAAGACTGGGTGGCCTTGGGACTGTGCCTGTCAGGGAATAAAAGTGTGTCCTGCTTCCTGAACACCAGCTCTGGACAGAATTTCACACAACTCCCATTTGAGTCTGCCCCCCATGAGCAGCTGGAGCAGAGTATTGGTGATGAGATTCCTGGAGGAACACAAGAAGGGCAGGAGAAACACAAGTCCCAGGGCAGGGGACACAAGGAGGATGTGGGAGAAGCTCAGGCAGTCTTACCTTGCAGAATGTGCATATTGACCAGGTCTGACCGCTCAGGCCTGCTTCTGATCTTGTGCTTGAGATAATCTTCAGTCTGCAGAAGACAAATGCAAAGTTACCTGCCTAGAGCAGCAGTAAGGCACTGAGAGCACCTGCCCCTGGGCCATCCCATGATTCTTTTGCATTTATTACAAGCTGGGTTGAGTGAGCTCCTAAATGACACTGAAATGTGTGATTTTTCATCACTGAAATGCTGGCTTGTTCTTGGGCAGAAGTTCTTCAGAAAGGGAACAAGGTGCACGTAGCTGCTGAGTGCTCACTGCACCCACTCTGTGCCCCTTACCACCACTGCTGGGCTTCTGATGCCTGAAATGTTCTGAGAACTCACAGGCAGGGTGACACCTATTCCATGGGAGTGGTGGGCCTGTCCACCATGTCCCCTGGTGAAGAAAAACTAGAGCTCAACTTGGACAAGCTCTTAGCTGAGCTGAGCTGCAAGAAGAAATATTACAAAAATTGTACCTAGTTCAAAGAGACTAAAATCCTAAGGATAAATATAAAATAGTACAAGCAGCTGAAGCAAAATTGGAAATCTACAGTACAAAATGTACACAATCATGAGAAAAAGATCTTGTAAGGACTTCTGCAGCCAGGATCAGGCAATGGAAAGTGCTGTCTGTGTTCCATAAACAGGAGAAATAATTCTCAGCATACTGCTGAGATGGCTACAGGATTTAATGCCTTTTAAAAACCATCCTCACTAAAAAGACAAATGGCTTTTTATCAAACAGGTGGCTCAGCCAAGAACCTTCAGCAAGAAAAGAGCAGAAACCCCAGTTGTCAGGCTGGAGAACGGGTTAGAGGGTGCTCAGTGGAGTTAAATGTTCCCAAACAATTTTGAGACACAAGGCTGGAGTAAAAGCAGCTATCTATGGCTCTTCAGAAAACTGGGCAAAGGAGAGTAATTGCTAGCCTTAAAAGAGATGGGCAGAAGAAACCAGGAAATTATAAAGCAGACAGCAAGATATTGGACCAAATAATCAAGCAATCTGTATAAATGAATTTTGAAGATAGCCTGGAGGTGAGCAACAGCCAGGATGGATTTATCAATAACAATTCACATCACACCAACCAAAATTCCTTCTAAGGAAGAATGACAGTTTTCTGGTACAGGAATAAACAATGAATATCATGCAGCTTGACTCAAAGCATGTTTTGACATTATCTCCCATGGCTTTCTCACATGCAAGCCAGAGAAATTTGGTCTGGATAAGACTAATATAAAAAAAGAGCATAGCTTTGGATCACTAGAGGAATTGGAAATGGCTCAGAGTCTAAACAGAAGAATAAATCAAATCCTTTTACAAAGCAATTTTTTCCTGCTAGTCAATATATTAGTTAATGCCTTGAATGATGGAAGACATACTCCCTCATTCTGAATCCTTCAAGGCTAACTGATTACAGTACACCATGATTTGGCACGACTGAAGATCTGAAATACATGTGCTACAGATTCAAGAAGGACACTTGGGAAGGGCTGTGGTCAGGTCACAGTTAGCCACAGTTAAGCCAGAGGATTAAGCACTGCAGTGGATGAAGACTTAATGCACCAGAGATGCTCCTGCAGTGTCACTGGACAGGGCCTTAGGCAGAAATGAGTTACTCCATGCATTAGGAAAGTATAAAAGGCTCTGGAGAACCCAGTGGTCAGCAGCTGACCCACAGCCCCAAAGCAGCAGGGGAGGCACAGCACAGGGTGTAACTCAGCCCTGCTCTGTGCCCTGCATCTGAAAGGGTCCTTGGAAGGCTGCAGACATCAGCCCTGAGTCAGAGCTGAGATCAGTGAGGGGGCTGAGGGGAGGTTGGTCTGCCCACAGGTGAGATGGCTATTGGGGCACAGGATGCAAAACAGCTTTTGAAAGAGCTGCAGGAGAAAAGAGACACATTTCTGAATATGCACACAGTAGTGTGCTCAAACTTCAGAAGAACAGCCTGGGCTGGGAATCAGGGGCCAAGGGCTCACAGCACAGCTCAGAGAGCACCAGAGCACATCACTGGCAGTGGGTGTCTGTCAGTGCTCACACATTAGTCAGGACCTTGTCACTCCCCACAGCTCCTGAAAGGTGGCTGTGCTCAGCTGGGGCTGGGCTCCTTCTCCAGGAACTGACAGAACCAGAGGTCACAGCCTTGAGCTGCACCAAGGGAAATACAGGTTGGATATATTAGGATAAAGTTTTTTACAGAAAGGTGATAAAGTTCTGGAATGGCTGCCTGGGGAGGTGGTGGAGTCACCATCCCTGGGTGTGTTTAACAAAGCCTGGATGTGGCACTGGGTGCCAGGGTTGAGTTGAGGTGTTGGGGCTGGGTTGGACTCGATGATCTTGAAGGTCCCTTCCAACCCAGTGATTCTGGGATTCTGGGATTCTGTGAGCTGCCCAGTGGGGCTGTTCTGCTCTGGGGCAGAGCCATGACAGCCGCCCTGCAGCCCCTCTGTGCTGGGGTGAGTGCTGAGCCCTGCTGAGCCAGACAGCCCCAGGAAAGCCAGCCTACACTCTGTCCTCCACCCCAGAATCCACAGGACATCAAAGTCTGCAGCGCTGGCCTGCTGCCAGCCTCTAACATAGCCAGTGACATGTTTAAATAAATAATAGACATTTTATTTACTAAAGTCTTTACAACGCCTTACCCTTCCCCCATATTTTTCACAGCTTATTTCCACCAACACAGTCCCGTGCTTGGACCATGTAGGTTTGCCTGGTTCCTGTGCCAGGTCAGAGCAAGCTGGTGTCTGCACCTGAGTGCATTTAAACTCACATAATGCATTTCCAGCTAACCCTTGGGTCAGGTTCAGACTTGGGCTCAGCTCCAGCTGCTGTCCCACAGCTGTGTTCCTGCTGTGACTTCAGCTCCTTTGGACCCTGCCTGTTAATAAGCTGCATTTGTGTCTCTGGGGTGCAAATAATGAACTCTTCAGATGTGACCTCTTTTAACATCAGCTGAAGCAGAGGAGCTTTCACAACGCATGAGCAGTTCTCTTATTTCTGTTTGCACATCAGCTTGGGGGTTATCAGCTAAACAACAAATGTCTTTGAGTAACTGTCTGGAAACAGCTGCTGATCTTCCCTTTCCCAGGTCTAAGCAGGGCAGATTTGCAAGGGAATAATGTTAGTTATGGGCTGTGCTCTGTGTCTTCATTAGCACTTTCTAAACTTGCCCATGGTTTGGGATAGACTAGACCATCCTTCCCCTTTCCCCAGGCAACTAGCCAGTGAAAGCTTTTGAAGAGAAAGACAAAGAGACACAAATGTATACTTTAACTGTAAAATATATGACACTTCAAGGATACTTTGGATTGCTTAAAATTTTTTAAGCATACTAATCTTTCAGAGTCATGCTGTATTTCTTATGCTTGCCATTTATTACCCCGGGAGACTTGGGGCAAGTGATTTGGAGTGTGTTTAAGTTCAGAAGAGCACTTCCCTGTATTTCACACTCATTCTTCCTTGCAAAGGTCCTTTCTCATGTGACTGCAAGCACATTTTGCAGATTAATGGAACAAATTCTTGTGTCCACGCAAAACCTGCATGATTAATTGCTTCCCTTTCCAGGACCATCCCTCCAGCTTGATCAAGGCTGCATTGCTGGTGACTGGAAAACCTACGTGATTTCCCAAAAAGCGATCAGATCCCAGAGTTTTGCAGTTTTCTGGAAATGGCTACTGCCTTTGGCAGTGTTTAGGGAAGCCTGGCCCATTTCCCCCTTGGATGTTGCATCCTGATGGCCAAGCTGCACTGCAGAGCTGAAAGCCAGAGCTCCTGCCTGGTGACAAGTGTGACCTCCCTGGGGACGGGCTGCAGGTGGCCCCTGCATTGCCCTGAACGCTGTCTGATGTGTTCCCTCGGGCTGGCCCTTCTCTGACCTGGCTGCAGGGGTGCAGAGCAGCCAGCACAGGAGGAGCAGCCCGTGGATGTGCCCCGCAGCACTGGCTGGACATTTACTGCAAGGACTGCCAAAGCCCTGCTGAACCCTGCCCTGCCCACAGCCTCCTGTGAAACCCCACAGCTCAGCACACAGATGCCCCATTTGCCCTTTTTTAAGCCATCCCTGCTCAGAGAAGGGTGCTCCAGAGCATTAGTGAGCCTGGAGACATTTCTGGAAGCAGAGCAGCTGCCCTGCCCCTCATCCTTGGCCACTGGGCCAGCGTGGAGGGTGCCAGAGGAGGGGACAGTGTGGAAGGTGCTGTCAAACCCGGTGGCTCATGCAAAGCAAGCCCATGTGTTCCCTCACTGGGAGGGCTGCAGAGTTACCTTGGCTCGCTCCAGACTTTTTCGCTGTTCATGGAATGCAGATGGGCTTTTCAGTGCTGCAACAGGAAAGAGAGAGGAGCAGTCAGCACAGGAGCGGAAGCAAGCAGCTACCAGGATATTCAGCAACAGCATTTTAATGAGTGCCATAAAAATAGCAACACAAACTAGCTGTTCTCTTTATTGTGCTGGCTAAAAATAACTCAGGAAAGCTCTGGGAAATCCCATGCTCTCAGCCAGTCCATGGCAAGAGAGCAGGGGGGATGGAGAGCATGGGGAGAGCAGGAGGCACGTGGGCAGGGAGGGGTGCAGGCTTTGAAACACAGTGGGGCACGTCAGAGAGCAGATAAATCTGTTCCCTGTCATGTTCCCTGCAGGTGGTGGAAGGAACCACAGCTCCAGAAGACAGATCTGGGAAGAGCAAACACCTGTGAGGGACCTCAGCTGAAAGTGAAACCTGTAGGTGACTAAGGCTGGAGGTCAGCAGGAAAATGAACACCTGCCTCAGCTCTCGGGGTCTGCAGTGCAGCCTCCAGTGGTCCTTTATCCATCTTCTGTCACTGACCATGACTGGATGTTTGTCCTGTCCCCTGACCCCTCAGAAGCAGCTGTGTAACATGGGACATCTCATGGCAAGCAGCAGACCATGTCCTCAGCATCTCCTGACTCAGGCAGGATTAACCCAGTGGTGCTCCCAAAAACAGGCCAATAATCCCTGGCTCTTGGAGCAGTGAACACCAGTGCCACGGAGCAGCCTGTACTGGACTCATGGAGAATCTTGCACATTTCCCTTTTCACTATGGTGCAGCAGAAACTGAGGCAGAATTTGCATGGCGAAGGGGTTAATACTTCTCACATCCTACAAAAATTCTTTTCTGACTGTGTAAGCAGACAAAACTAACAGTTACCACTGGGACAAGGAAGGGGAAGGTGTCCTGACCCACAAAAACAGTCTGCTGCAACTCTTTGCCTGGCAACAGAAATTCTCTTTCCATCTTCTGAATGGGATCCAATAAAGACAGAAACTATTTTTCATGCAGGCCTTGTTATCCTCCATCAGTCTAGGGGAGGATGAAAAGAAGACTGGGGAGAAACAGGAAAGGTTTGGGGGCCCTCTGAATTGACTTTTGGTAGTCAACACCCAGGCAAGCCCTGGACCATCCAGTGAATGACAGAAAAGCACAGAAGGACATTCCTGCTCCTGCCACTTGGAAAGCAGACAGACAGACAGACAGACAGACAGACAAGCTGGTGGTGCTGTGCCACACTCGGTGAGCAGCCACCAGCACTGGTGGCAGCTGGTTGAATCAGAAGCAACATTAAACAGTGCACATGAAAATGAAGTTAGCAGAGAGATGACTTTCCCAGCCCTGCTGATGGGAGGTACTGAGGTTGGCAGTGTGCTGCAGGCACTGACCAAGTGCTGCAGAGTTTAGTAATTGACCAAGATTTTTGGAGGAATTTTGGGGGTGCTGCAGCTTGTGTCAGTCTGAAGAATAAATAAAGACATTGCTAGCAATACCAGTTCAGAGAACTTGTCAGGGGAGGACATTTCAGCATGAAATGGGTGTGGGCCTGGGGGCAGAAGGGCAGAGGTGCTGTGTGGGGTGTTGATCACCTGGGGACTGCTGTTTTAAGGCTTCAGTGAGGATGAGGTGGTGGCTGTGTACAGCAGGAGGGCCGTCAAGCACAGGTATTTTTGCAGTCCATCACAGCCAGGGGGACTCACCAGCTGGTCCTCAGAACCAACATGGCATGGGGAGATATGGTTAATAAAGACTTGTTTTTCCTAAGGAATGTCTGCACATGCCCAAGCTGTGGGGAAACTGGCTTGGGCTCCCATGTATTAAATGCTAACATCTGACACTTCCTCTTGATGTCAAATTCAGCAGTTAAATTCTGCGTGTTTGTTTTTATAATGGCATAAGTGCCTTTTCTTCTATTACTTTCAGTGAGTGAACCGTGCTCAAGTTTCCCAAAATGGTCTTCTTGGACAGAAACCAGACTGCAAAATGTCAGCCTAGAAGTTGGGAGTGCAAAGAAGCTGTAAGTAAGAGGAAAATACCCTTCAGTTGCCATCAAAGATCTTTGGCTGAATACTTTGCAGTGTGTAAGGTTTGAGGTGTTGGGTGCCACGTGTGACAGCGCAGCCTCGCAGAGCAGCCCCAGGGGCACAAACCTCTCATGCTGCCCCATGTTCTTGCATTATTCTAACAAATATCACAGCATTTTGTCCAAAACTTCAGCTCCTGGAGTCCTGTGATCAAAGTGCCTGCTCTTTCATGGCAGGCAGCATAAAATCGGAATGCTTAAAGAAATAAGCAGGCGAAAAATTGACAGAGTATGCATTTATCAGTCTTGATCATTTTGGCAGTCCTGATTTTTGTCACCCTGCTCAAGTTTTCTACTGCTTGGTGTTGACAGGAATGTCCTGAGAAGGCGTCTGTTGTTCAGCACAATCCTCCAGGAGGGACAGGGGAGGGACAGGGTGCAGCAAGCAGTGCCAGAGCTGTGCTCTTACAGAGGTGGTGTTCTGCTGCTTAGGCAAGAGCTCCATCACAGTCTGCAAGGACAACCAGAAGAGACAGAAGTGACACAGCCTCTGGAAAATTGTGATCTTAGCAGTGAACCCAAGGGGTCCTTGATGAGACAGAAAGGATAATCCTCTACCTGGGTCCCAGGTAAGCCCAGATTTGCACATGGAGCCTGAGCTAGGTCAGGATGGAGTATTCCACTGAGCAGGGCTGAGCTCCCAACATCCTTTCTCCAGTGGTGCTACAGCTTTCATGATGCACCTGCAGGTGCAGAAGGGGATGGTTTTCATTCACTGACTTTTTGGGCTCTAGCAGCTGCCTTTCTGGTGCAGAATGATTTCATGATAACGCTGTCCTGGAGTTTGTCCTTCAGCTGGAATGCCAGGTGAGCAGGGGTGGCTGGGGTCAGAGGGGGAACACGTGGGGTTCCCTGCCTCAGGTGTGCACTGACAGCTCTGCCCTGTGGGGTCCTGCCTGGGCACAGATCTGGGTATGCCTCAGTCCTCCAGGGATTGCTTTTGTGCACCGGGGCCAAGGCAGTTCCCAGAGCTGCCTTCTTCCCCAGCTTCCTCATCCTGTCACAGAGGCTCCTGGCCTTTACAGGGCAGGAGATTCTCTGCCCTTGCCTTGTGAACAGCTTTGTGAGTCCTCTGCTTGAGCTGGATCTGCTTGTCCTGCTACAGTGACCTCTGGGACAGGGGAGCTCTGCAGCTGCAGGTTTGGATGGTGTAAGGCAAGCATCTCTCCTGACTTCAGTCTGAGCAGGGCCGTGGCAGTCTGTGTGATAAATGCACTGTGCAGCACCGGGGATATCTTGTTCCTGCAGCCCCCTGGAAGCTCTGAGCTGTGGGGTCTGAGCAGGCAGCTGGTGCCACACCGTGCCCCAGCAGTGCCAGGATGAACACAGCCCCCTGAGCCAGGGTGACAAGGGCAGCAGAAGATACTCACGTGGCATGATGCCTTGGTCTGCCAGCTGCTCCCGGGTCCTTCTCTGCTGGAGCCGTAGCTGTAAAACTGTCAGAGAGAGGGTCAGAGAAAGGGGCAGGATTGTTCTGAGGCGCTAACACAGGGACAAGGTGTGTGGGTTTGTGTGTGGCACTGATCCCTGCTGCTGCTGGACCAGCCTTGTGAACAACTGAGCTCATCCCATCGCCCTGGGAACACGCCTGTGCTTTGAGGTAGTGTCATCTTCTACACCTTTGGTTTTGCAAATCTTCGAGAGGACACCTGTGTCACAAGGTAAAACACAAAACTCAGTTCCCTGTTTCCTGCTGGAAGCTCAGTACAGCTTGCCAGGACTACAGACACCTCAGTCACAACACAAGCACACACTTCCCTGCCCAGCAGCACAGCCCCAGGCTGCTCCTCCTCAGCTGCCCGGAACGAGCTGGGGTTGCAAGGACAAGAAAGGCAGAACAGCATTTTTGTCCTTGGGAGCAACCTGCTCTGCCAACAGCTCGTGTACAACACAGCTTTCCTGGGTGTGGGATGGAGCTGAAAACCAATCCCTTCCAGAGCAGTCCCCAAAGCAGGGGGCTCCCTGAGATGCCATTGCTTGTGACTTTTCCGTGTCCTCTGTACAAACCATCTTTCACATTCAGAGCAAATGTTTAGTGAAGGCTTCCTATGGGACAATGATCTCCTGCCAAATTCCAGCACTTCTTTGGACACCAAAGATAGATTCTTGCTGCGAGGGAAAAATGTAGCCTTGAATATGTGGTAAAGTCTGTGCGTGTGTGCTGCTCTTCTTAACACAGGGTGAAGCTGATGGCTGAAGTCAGTGGCAAACCTTGCTGCTGGGGGGGTTGAAACCCTCCTCTGCCCCATGGCACCACCCTCAGTAAGTGCTGGTTCTGCCTGTGGATGTGCATTTGGACCCTCACTCTCTGGGCACCTACACTGCACCCAGTTATTGTTGTTATCGGACACAAAATGAGTACACAGAAGTTTGGTAAGTTCAAAAAAGAAAAAAAAATGTGTTTTATTTGAACATCTGGTATTTATAGAATTCTAAAGGTCGTTGTGGGTAGGAGGATGGAGTTATTACTTCTTTAACTCTATTGGTTTAAAGATTAATTAATAAATTCTCTCTACTTACAGAGAAATATGCAAATTATTCTATTTTTATATGAAATGGTGTGGGAACTCTGACTTTCAAATATGTAAACATTATTAGAAAGTTAAAGAAGTTTTATGAGAACTTTAAAATTTTCAAAAGAACTATAAAAGAAAACACTTTTAAAAATCAGGGTAACAACTTATGTGCACCCCCTTTGCAGAAGTCACCCCCTCAGGGCCCTTCAAAACCAAAGGGGACAGTCCATGCTCTGGGGTGCCCGTGTTTCCTCCTGGGCTGTGCAGGCAGGTTAAAGGTGACCAGCTCCTGGCTGGGGCCTCACACAGGGTCAGCTGTACCCCACATTCTCTGCCCAGAACCTTCTCTGTGACTGCTCACAATCCTGAAGAATTGTGCAGAGCTTGGCACTCTCCCTGAGGAAAAGATGGATCTTTATGGAATAGGTGAGCTACAGGGGGTCAGAAACTGTCCAAGAATAAAAACAACCTGTTGCTCACCCAAGAATGGTTCTCTACTCTCCTATCCTGGTGCAGTGCCCCAGGCATTAGAGCAACCTGCCTTCAACTGAGGCAATTTACACACAACATCACATTATGAACGGAATCAGAGACAGCAAAGCCTTCTCCAGTCACACACCACCCTGCCAAGGACACAGCAGTGCCCCATCAGGCTGTAAAATATCCTGAGTGAGGCTCCTCCATCACTTCCCTTCACAGCTCCCACGGGTGCCAAATTATTTGCACCATTTCACTGCAACTTCCGAGCCAGCCAGACCAAGTGATGCACCACATCCTCATGGGCAAGGGGGATTCCAGCAGCCTGTGCACTCAGGGCCACATTCCCTGCTGCTTCTGCTCATTTCCCAGCAAACAAACAATCCAGCAGCTCCCCGGGGCAGCCAGCTGTCAGCCAGGCTGCTGAGGAGGAAAAGGAGAGGGTACAAATCCCCCTGGGCCATAGCTGGGAAGGTGACGATGATTTCCCGTGTGGGGGTGTAGGATTCATCATCTGCCCTGCTGCAGGGAGTGATGAAAACCTGTGGCTCTCACTGCCACAGCTCTGTCACTGCAGGAGCAGCACCTGGCCGCCCAAATTCCCCAGATCCCACTGCCTTGCAGTGAGCAGGGCACAGGCTGGGGGATCCCCCCCTGCAGCTGGTCCCTGCTCCACCTCACAGCCTCTCCTCTGCCTCCTGCCCTGGGCATAGACTGTCACAGAGGGGATCTGGAATAGTCATTTTGTCTCCAGTTTGGTTTTTGTGCTGAGGGGTAGAAAGGCTGGGAGCCAGCAGTGTCACTCACTGCTCTGAGCAGTTCCATGGGCAGGTCACCTCCCCTAGACAGGGAGTTCATCATGGGCCAGGCTGAGCTTAAAAATCCCCTTAAGTCTGGCCCATCCTTAAGCTACAGGTGAGGAGGAAAACTTTATCCAGCCCTGTCTGTTAAGGGCATGCTGTCAAATAATGTGAGGACAGGCCAGTGCAAGTACCAGCCACTTCCAGGAGCAGCACACACTCAACACTTGAAAGATTTATTCAGCCACCAAATATTCATCCCAGTCTGGACCTCCTCATGCAGTAGGATGCATGACTTGACTCTCAACTATTTCTATGGATTTCCAAAACCTGTTGCAAACCATCTGAAGAAACGTAGTGGACAGTGTCAGTCAAAAATGCTGAACATCCCTGCACAAGAGGGATGCAGCCTCGGAGGCAGTGCTGCAGCTTGGCAGATGCCAGCTTGGGTCCTGCACCTTTCCCTTACAACCAACAGTGCTTAAAAACAAGGCTGGAGCAGCCCCTGGCACCATCCACACCATCATTTAGCTGCTTCTTTCCTTGTGTCTGACCCCAGCTGCATTCCTTTCCTCTTCCTTTGCTGCATGTCTGGAGGCCTGAGCGCTGAGTGCTGTATGGGGAATTAAATTTTCAAGAACATTCTTATTTTTCTCTGCTAACACTTCAGAGGAGCATTTATCACATGAAAAGCGGTGGCTGGAGCACTGAAGAGATAATCTTTGTCCCACCCCTCAGCATCCTTGTTGCAGTTTGGATGGTGAGAAGTGCCAGGCAGGGAGGAGCGGTGCACACTGGCCATCCTGTGCCACCACCAGCTGACACCAGCCAACCTCCTTGGTGATGCTCATGGGACTTTTCTGGAGCTGCTGTTTTGCAAAGCCACCTTGGCCAAACTTTGTCTTGAGCCTCTCCATGGATCTCAGCCCACCTGCTCTGCCCATAGCCATGAGCCACAAAGAGATTTCTCTGTAACATCTTGTCTCCAGGCCTGTGTTATCCTCTGACAACGTGGCCTCTGTGGGACCTGTGTGAGCAGAGATGAAGTTGGAAATGGCACTGTTCAGCCAGGAGAGCCATGGATAACCCTTGTCAGTCCCTTCCCAGGTGAGCATTGCTTTATCTCTGCCTGTGATTTCACTTCAGAGCTGGGAGCATTTTACTTCTAACAGACAGATGTGCTACAAGTGTGTGTTACCTGGGAGACTGCACTGAAAAATCTCTACATGGGTGGCAACTGCATTTCTAACCCCAAATCCAGGTCTTCAGGTACCTTGGAAGAGACTCTAGGCTAGCACAGCTGGCTAGCAAGGAGCCCAGACCACCAAATGGGCACAACCAGCTGTGAAATCCCTCTGAATCCGATGTAATGTGCAACCCCAACCTAACCATGGTCCTGAGAGCAGGCTGTTCCCCTGGAGTCCCCCCTTCAGCACCCCCATGAGCAGCCCAGACAATGTCCCCTTTGATCTGTGCTACAACACATGCTTGACTGACAAAGAAACACGACTGCCCATTAAAACACTGAGGGATGAGAGGCCAGAAAAACGAAACCAACCGCAAACTGATCTACAACAAGACAGTGTTTTACAAAAACTTCCCAAAACATTCTCATCAGTTACAGCAAGGCCATGGTTTGCACACACACACACACACACACACACACTGACTGTGACCTGTGTGAGTTCATGATCTGAGAGGAAACACAGGCGCATGCTTTATCTTTGGACACCAGGAAAATCAAAATAAAGGTTCTGCCAACACGCCTGGCCAAACACCCTACCAAGACCTATTCTCTTCTGCCTTTATTGACCTGCTGATTTTGGTCCAAATTGCTCTGGCCACCAGAGGCAGACAGAATAAATTCCTCTCCCATCTCAGTTTCATTCAGGCCCTATGTGTAAGCATGAATACTTCCCTCCATGGAGCCAGGCAAGTCTTCTCTGCAAACCCACACCCATGTGTCCACAATTAGGTCTTGGTTCCCCATGCCAAGCCATGCAGAGCTTTATTTATAGTGTTAAACTTTCACTTCTCACCAATTATCTGTATTACCACTGAAGTTAGGCAGATGTTGGCCCTGTAAGCTCTTGCCATATAGCTGCAAAAAAAAGACTGGGGCTAAGGTTGGATCTGCATTTGTCAGCTTTCTTTGCTTTGTCTGATGCCAGAGCTTCTCCTCTGCTGGAGCACAACAGGTTTGTACTCAGAGCAAGAGATCACTAAATGACCATCTCTGGGAAGAGTTAAATGTGTTTCTGGAACAGCACTTTGATGTCCTGTTGATTTAGTGCAATCTCATTGATAGTTGGATCGTATGGGACAGCATGGCAGATTTGAAGAATCATCATTCCTGCAAAATTTGTCAGGATGACCTCAGATCAGAATATTTATATTTGGCCAAACAGACAAAATAAAGAGGCACAGAGCTCCTTGAGGAAGGGAAGCAGGACCCTGCAGGACTGCAGCAAGGTGCTGATTTTCCCTCTGGAGTGGTTAAATGCCTGGCACTGCAATAGCCACTGTCCCTCCTCATGGCATAGCTGTGCTGGTCCTTCACTGGGACCACGGGAGAGACAGGAACAGCAGAAACCACTGCAGCACTCAAGGGATGAATGCTGGGCACGCTGAGAAAAGCCACTGCCACCACCAGAGCAGCCTTTCCTGGGTAAACACACTCCTGCTTGCTACTGATGCTGTCGTGTGGAAATGAGGGACAGGAGAGCTGACCCTGGAGCCACACCACTGCCACCATCTTCTAGCTCCTTGCTCCACGTTCTTCCTGGTGCATAGCACAGAGATGAAAGGGGTTCTGGGAGGAGGAAAAACAAGTAATGTACCTGCAGCTCCCCTAAACACACTCACAGAGCTCCTCCAGCTGCTTGGCGTGTGCAGGCCAGGCAGAGACAGCAAAAGTTTAGTTATTAAGATTTACTTCAGCCCTCTTCAATATTGGCCTGGAATCCTTCAGAAGGGATTCAGGCTCATCATGAGTCATGGAGCACAGCTAATCCTTCCCAAACCTGGGGAGCAAACAGCCTCGCACCTGCTGGCTGAGAGTGTTCCCAAAGCGGCGGCGCACGGCTCCTTGGGCTCGGCATTTTGGGGTGATCCCTCCCGCCTCTCTGTGAGCTGCACAGCTCTGGAACTGCTGCTGTCCCCTCTCACAGCCCCTGAGCCATGCAAGGCAGTGTGGGGCACGGCCATGGGCTCTTTGAGGCTTTCAACCCTCTTCCAAGCAAACGGAGGATGGTAAATCCGAGCTCAGCACCTCCCGCCATCCCTGTGGGGCTTTACAGCTGACAAAGCCTGCACACAGAGCAGGACACCACAGGAAACTGTGCCACAGAGGCTTTGCAAATAAAAAATAGTCCATTAAATATTAGCTTTTTTTTTTTTCCCCTCTGTTCCCCATGTTATTAAATATCCAGCACAGACTGGAAGTAGCTTTATTGACTTATTTGGGTTTCTCAGCATTCGGGTCTCCTCCCTCCTCACACACTGTGACAACCAGGGCTGTGCTGTGGCCATGTCCCACGTTAGCAGCGGTCACAGCCTTGGGGACAGTGAGGTGCAGACACACATTTGGGAATTTGGTGAGCCCGGCTCTAACAAAATCAACAGGCAGAGAAACCTTGTCAAATGGGAAGCCTGCCTCTCACCAGGCCATAGCAAGGGACAGCAGTTGTGGGAATAAATCACGAACCAAAGAATGCCCCACAAATTAACTGTCCTAGAAATGCTGAAAGGCACGAGAATTTATGGATGCAAAGACCCACAAAGTTTACTTTTCTTGGAGAATCATTTGAAAAATATGTTTAGAGAGCCTGCTGTTGGTGCCATAATAAAGCCAGCTTACAAATAAACCAGAAATGAGCCTTAAAAACAATCCTGGTTCATTTGAAAAGAATGCAGGGACAATGCACAGCCCGTCCTCCGCTCCTCAGGGAGGTGGCAGTGTTGCTTTGTACATGCTGGAGGAATTGTTACAGACTGAGATTTTTTTCAAATGAACAGCAGTGTACCATAATATACCAACAAAATTTAAGGAATGACTTAATCTAATGAAATGCAAGATCAGAGCGATATGGAAACCACACCAAAGACCTGGACCCAGGCTTTGTATAATTCAGCCAGACTAGGACACTTGTGTTTGCACACACACTCTGGGGTTTTCAACCAATTGCCAACTTTGTATTTGCTGAGAAAACAAAGTTTAAGTTGACCACCCAGCTATCTAAGAGATCCTGATAACACCACTCATGTCTTCCATCAGTACCATAAATCTCCCATTTCATTATCTACAATGAGTAAGGAGGCAAAAACACACACAGCGTGGGTGACATGCCAGAGCGGGTGCATGTTCCAGCGTGACTGCCCCGTCTGGATTGAAAGCATCCCGTACAGCACATGCAGCTGATTTATCTGCACATCCTCACTGATAATATTCCCAGGGAGAACTTTACCTCTGGGAAGGTCAGAGAAAGCACCTTGAGAACAACTTTTTTGGGCATTACTGTTAAAGTTTACAAAGCAACAAGTCAGGTTACCCACTCCCAAGGAGAGCATACTTACAATAGGTGCAGCCAGTGACTAAAGGCATGAACATCCAGCAGAGGGGCTGCTCTAGAAGCGGCTGTCCCATAGTTCACCTTCACTCACCTTCACTCAGTGAACGTCCCTGGAGCAGCCCCTGCCTGGTGCTTCCCCTGACTCAGAGCCGGAGGCATGTTTTACTGCAAACCCTCCGCGAGCAGCAATCAATTGTGTGCCTCTGGTTTTATTTCTCTGATGATGTCACTTTAAATACTTTTCATGTTCCATTTGTTATTTTTACTTCTAAAAATGACGCATTTCTTCAAATTCATTTTTCTCCAATTAGTCACAAGTTAATGGAAGGAGCTCAGCTGCCTGCCTGTCAGAGAGGGTGTCAGGCCCGGCCTCTCCGGGATTATCCCACACAGACCCACAAGAGCACCTGGAATACACGGATGGCATTAGGCACCTTGTTTATCCCAGATGCCCTTTTGGCTCCCTGCCCAAATCCTTCGCAGCGGGGCCGGAGAGGAGAACCGGGAGCTGCACTTTTACCGAAATAAACCACAGACACAGATCAAAGACAGCGAAAAACCAGGAGGAAAAAAAAAAGCAAGAGAGAGGAAGGGAGATGTGTCTCTCCACTTGTGGAACAGCCTGTGTAAGAGCAAAGCCGTGACAGCTCCACAACCCCTCGAGTCTTTTGCTCACATGCTGCTTCCGAACATTTAATGCAAAACACTCTGTGCCTACTGCTTGACAGAGAGAGAAGTTTTAAGAGAAATCTCAAGGTTTTCCCTACCTGATCTGAACTTGCTCCGGATCAGCAAGGAGTGCTCAGACCCCAGGAGAGTCATGGTGACTCAGGGACCAGATCCAGGCGCCCCTCACTTAAACCATTAACTCCTCCACGGGGAAAAGCCGAGCAAGCCGTGGTGGCTGGCGCTCAGGGTTCATCCAGCTCTCCTGGGCTCTCTGGGTGCTTTTACAGCCGGCTGGCAAGGAGCAGCAAGTGGCTTTGTAAGGTTTGGTCCCATCCAGCAGTGACCCCGCACGGACACCGGCTGCTCCCCCCGCGCAGCGCTGCGCTGATGGACGCGGAGCCGGCGGAGCCTCCTCCCGCCCGCAGTTCCCTGCCAGCAGCTGGGTGTCCTGGCTGATGTCACCGTCTAGCGGGGAGCAGCGACTATCGGAAAGGGTCTTAGCAAAGACAGAAGTTTGATATCTGATCCTAATTACTACCGGCCGTACGCAGCCAATCCCGGCGCTCCCCGTCTCCGCCGGCTTTGGGAGCCGCTGGAAATATCAACAGAGGAAGGGTTTAACTCTTTGCAGAGTGGTGGGACACTGCTCCCGCACCTCCCGGGGGCTCTGGGGGGCTCAGCTCCCTCGGGTGAGCGAAGGGATGCGGTCGGGATGAGTGTCCCGGCCAGAGGATGGCTTCGGGAAGGTCGCTCCGCCTTGGTGCCCTCCCGGCCGGTGGCACCTGGGCATCCCTGCTGCCCAGGTGTGCCCAGAGCCCTGCTGCTCTGCACACCCCTTTGCCAAGGGGTTATCCACCCGGGTTATCGTGCCGTGGCACACGGACACGGGGATGGGAGGCTCCCAGCGCCCTGTGCCACAGCCGCCCCAAGGAGGCTGCATCCCTCCCCACCCAGCAAACACGCTCTCAGAGGAGAGAAGCTGATTGCAAACACGCAAAATAAAGAGAAACGGACCCTTTGAGGCTCTCCAAGCCCACATGTGGTTCACTTGAGTGGGTGATCTGCTGGCACCTTTTATTGTGTACTGTAAGGAGAAGAAGCCAAGCTAAGGCAAGGGCAGATCTCAGCTTCCCTGACATGTGGGTCTCACCTAGGAAGGTGTCTAAATTCCCTCTAGGTCATAAAAATACTTCAGGTTTGGTTTGAAGTTTTGTTGGGATTTTTTTTTTTTTTAATTTTACTTTATTTTAATCCCGTGGTTTCTGGGAAGTACTCCTAAACAGTTTGGGATGGGGATAGGAATTCCAGGGCTTCTACACTCATTTTCTCAGAGGCTCTGATTCATCAGAATCCCAGTACAGCAGAGAGCTCCTCGGGTCTCTCGCCCTCATGTAGTCCATGTGATAGAAGCACAGAATCATTTAGGTTGGAAAAGCCCTCTAAGATCACCAAGGCCAGCTGCCAACCCATCGCTGCCAAGCCCACCACTGCCCATGTCTCTCAGCAGATAATCCACACATTTATTGAACATTTCCAGGCATGGCCACTCCACCACTGCCCTGGATGGCCTGTTCCAATGCCTGAACACCCTTCCACTGAAGAAATTTTTCCTAAATCCTGAAACAAGTCCAGACCATTTCCTCTTGGCCTATTGCTTGTTACCTGAGAGCTGAGGTTAAGGAGGCTGTCCTGAGCTGAGCTCCCTCCTTACCATGGGCTGGATGTGATTTCCTGCTCATGCTACAGCTGATGGATTGTCCTTAATCACTGGCAAGGGAGAGATTATTTAAATAAATTGATCTCCAAGCATTGAGCTGAGCTGGCAAACAGAGTTTTACTGTAGTGTCTAGCAAGGTGGCCAGAGTCCTGTTCCTCACTAATTTTTCCTAAGAAATGTCCTTTCTAATGAAGCTAACATCACAATCACAACAACGAACAAACTCCACCTCTCAGCAGAACCATGCCATGAAAGCTCAGGGACAAGGCAGGGCTCATTGATACCCTGTGTCTCAAACTGCAGGGTTTGGGCTTTTTTGCTTTGTACTTTCTCTAGCTTTGTACTTTTTTGCTTTGCAAACTCCTGCTTGATTTACTGCTCCTGCTGGCCAAAGCTCCGCTCAGGTATCCCTGCTCCCTTTTGGAGTTTCCAATTTCTTCCTCCCTTTTTTTTTTTCCTTTCCTTTTCCTTTTCCTTTTTCTTTTTCCTTTCCTTTCCTTTCCTTGGGATACCAGTGGGGGATGGAGACACATCTTTCTTAGGAGGTGACACAGCCTATAACAAGCTCTAATTTGTTGACTCATCTCAGCAAATTGCTCAACTGCTGAACCCACAGTCCTGAGCTGGTATCTCCCTGTGATGGTCCTTCCATGAGAGTCAGCCTTGGACACGTACTCTTGGTGTCCTCAGGAAACAGGAAAGTTGTTTCTCCTAAACCCCAGAGGCCAGGACAGGACTGAGATGCCACCGCAGATACTGAGCCATTTGCCTGGCTGCTGCCTGCTTTAGGTAGCCCAGAAATATTCCCACAAAGTCCCCGTGAGTTTCCAGAGCTGTCGTTGCCCAGCCTTGGTGTCCTGGCTGTGTGTGCACTACTGCTCATCTCTGAAAAGGGCCTGGCCACCAGCTGCATCACCACCTGTCTCTGGAAGGTGACACAGGCACACAGATCCCTGCAGAGACCACAGCTGCTTCCCATTCCCCCCTTCCCAGCTCTGCTATATCACCTCTGTTGTAAATGAGGTCATCTTGACTGCACTGAGTGAGTGAGCCTGAAACGCCAGAATAAATTAGTCATGGCAGGGAATTCCTTTGAACTGAGAAGTCACATCCCAGAATCATACGGATATCAGATCTGAGCTGCCCACCAGATCCCAGGAAGCCATCCCTTCTAATCTTCCAACACACCCTATTGTTTATGGGACTGATTTCTTTTAAAGCAGATTGTTTGTATATAGAGTTGCAACTATGGGAAAAAGAACCAAATTGAGCTGAAGTTCCAGTGAAACCCCTGTGGGGACTTGGAGGGGTCAGTGTGTGACAGTGTCCGTGCCAAAGAAAGGGAGTTTCCCCAAACCTGGTGTTCTGCCAGTCATTTCTGCTCAGACTGTCCTCTCCTGTGGGAATGAGACTGGTTTGTCTTTGATTTCTTTTCTCTAGCACCTGGCAGCTCCATTTGGAAAAGACCCCTCCTGCCATGGCCTTATTTCTTGAATCTTCACAGCATGCTTTGCAAAAAGACAGATCTGATGTCTGAACTGCCCATCCCATGTGCAGAATAGTGATAATTTGCTGTGTGCTTGTGCAGCTGTTGGTGTCCAGGGTCCCCTGGGGAGGGACAGAGCTGTACTGGCACACAGCTCTGTGCTGAATGTCCTCAGGCTGGCATAACTCTGAACCCTGAAGGAATGGGAAGGCTGGAAAAAGAGTTGCTTTTACAAATCTGCTGCTCAGGAGGAGTGCGTTCTTCCATTCATACCCAATACAGAGTATGGAGCAGCAGCCAAGGGCACAGGGAAACCAGTGGTCAAGGCTCACAAGGAACTCTGGACATCCTTTGGAGAGGCCAACATCCAGGATGTCATCATTGTGATAGAGAATGGAAGAAGAAATCTTTCCCTGAGAAAGAATTTTCACTGAACTGGCCATTAGTGGATTTGGATTCAGGGCAGATATGAACCTCCTGCTCTGAGACTGCACCAGCAGAGCTCCAGCTCATCATGGCCTTTAGGAACCTGAGGAGAAATTGTCTTCTCTTTGCGTGCCTGAGAGTTGGAGGTGATTTGCACAAAAAAGAGCTTGTGGCTTTCACATGGCAAACCATCTGGATATTCCTCTCCACAACCTGGGACAAACTGAGGCTTTCTGAGCTGGAGCTGGCGAGGCAGCAGTGTCTCTGCCCTGTGAAGCAGAGGTGGCCTCTAGGGACCAGCTCAGAGAGATCCTGGCTGTGTCCTAGCCCAGGTCATGGTCAGGGAGCTGGGAGCAGGGATGGTCCAATCCTTCACTTCTGATAGCACCTGGTAAGCACCATCAGAGCAGCATTCCACTGAATGCTGAATATCCTGAAATATCCTGAAATAATATCCTGAATTTGCCACTGTCTGCCAGGCTTTTAAGTGGTCTGTCCCCACCCTATCTCCCCACAGAGCTCGAGGGCTGGAATTTATGGCAGAGATGTCATGAGCTCTTCCAGTTCAGACAGCAGACAGCCTTGCTTGAATTGGAGCTGTGAACTATTTATCACAGAGCTGCAAGCATCCAGGCAAGGTTCTTCAATTTATGAAGGTCCAGAAGATATTATGCAATTGACAACATGAACACAAAAATACTTCTGCACTTTGCTAAAGCTACTATTAAGCTGCCTGATGTTTTCATCATAATATTTATTTCTTTGTAAATACACTAAATTCTCCAATCCCGAGTGAAAACAGAAAGATCAGAGAATGAATATAGGGAGACGACATAGCTGTTTAAATATTATGTAAAATGTTTTTTACTAGCATAAATATTTGATTGTGAAACTCTGGCTGTTGTGTTTACTGATGTGCAGTGAGTGCGGAGAGCTGCCACAGCCGGGCACCGTGCTGGAGGCTGTCCATGGCCCATGTCCCATGTCCCATGGCCAATGTCCCATGGCCGATGTCCCATGTCCCATGGCCAATGTCCCATGGCCGATGTCCCATGTCCCATGTCCTGTGTCCCATGTCCCATGTCCCATGTCCCATGGCCAATGTCCTATGTCCCATGTCCCATGTCCCATGTCCTGTGTCCCATGTCCCATGTCCCATGTCCCATGGCCAATGTCCCATGTCCCATATCCCATGTCCCATGTCCCATGTCCAATGTCCCATGTCCCATGGCCGATGTCTCATGTCCCATGTCCTATGTCCCATGTCCCATATCCCATGTCCCATTGCCCCTGTCCCATGTCCCATGTCCCATGTCCCATGTCCCATGTCCCATGGCCCACATCCCATGTCCCATGGCCGATGTCCCATGGCCCATGTCCCGGGTCCCATGGCCCACATCCCATGTCCCATGGCTGATGTCCCATGGCCCATGTCCCGGGTCCCATGTCCCATGTCCCATGTCCCATGTCCCATGTCCCATGTCCCATGTCCCATGGCCCATAACCCATTTCCCATGTCCCATGTCCCATGTCCCATGTCCCATGTCCCATGGCCCTGCCTGCTCCTCCCCGTGTGCTCCAGGCTGCAGGGACCCTGGGTGCACTGGCACTTGTCCCTGACTGCCAGCTCTGGGCAGATTGTCACTCCTGGCACACAGACCAGCCACTCCATCAGCCCCAGGAGCCTCAGGACAGAGGGCAGAGGGGATCAGAGCGGGTGAAGGAAAAGTTAAAGGCCCAGGGACTGAGGCTTCTTTGAGGGAGGTCATGGGGAGGGGTGATGCTCCCACAGCGCTCAGGTCAAGTGGGCTGTGCTGGCAGGAGCTCAAGGCACTCAGGGACCTCCTCTGTCCCATGGAGAGCAGGGGAAGGGCCAGGC